TAGAGGGCTTGTGAAATATAACAAAGTCTTTTATTGAGGAACAATCAAACAGAAACTTCTCTTGTCTTCAAACAAATTCTTCCAGGCTTTTGTGCAACTGGTGGCTACTAACTGTTACTTTACTTTAACTGGTGTCTACTAACTGTTACTTTAACTTTACTTTCTAACTTCTCCCAGGCTGACTGTGAACTTAAACCTAACTGATGTGGGCACCACTACCGGGTTGAACTGCGTCTCAAAGCACTGAGTGGACCTACCAGCAAGGCCTGTAGTCTCTTCAACTGGAGTTCTTTGATATTCAAAGATATTCCCTCCGAAATTCCTCAGAGCTTTAGGGCTGTTTCCCTGGGAATCTTTGGGAGTCTTTGGATGCTCTTAAGACTGTTTCCACCGGAAAGTCTTAAGGGTTGAAGGTTTTGTACAGGAGAGCTTGCACACGTCCTGTATATTAACTTTCCTTGCTGAGACTAACTAAAAATGGCTCCCTTCCCAATTGCCCTGAGCAAGGGGTGAGACCAAAACTTAATGATGATGGACAGGTGACTTGCCCTACGACTGCAACCAAAAGGAAGCCACCTATCTGCAGAGTCCCTGAAACCCAGGGCTGCAAGCAAACATTTAATACAAAGCAAATAAATTTGGAGCTCCTGGTACAACCGTACCAGCACAATAGCATGCGACCAAGTGGATTCATTCTGCAGCATCAATACATTCCAAGGTTTTTCTTTCCATTGCTGGAAGCTTTGGTGCTCCGACACTTTTGTTTTGAAAGAAGGAATCCTAAGTGAGAAACAACTGCAATGCAAACCCTTTGGGGCCAAATGACGAAGAGAGCACTTTCTGCGCATTAATTTTGGCAGCAAATTTTTTGCACTCCAGAACCGAAATGATACCCTCTGACTTTAAAACACACCACACGTTGAGTGAAAAACCAATCCTTTTTATCGAAGCTGAGTAAAATAGCCAGTAGAAAGAAATGCTTGTAAAAATAGGAGAATTTCAAAATGTAAAAGATCAGTAAAATGCAGTAATTCAAAGCAATGTTCACAAAAGATATAAAAACAATCCAAGGCAGTATTTATCCAGACAGGAATCAACAGGTTGCAAAGATAACCCAGAAGGTGCTAGACCACAGCAAAATGCTAAAAATCTCTATAAGAACAAAACCCCTTGAACAGGATTTCCATGGCATGTGAACATGATTTCCAAACGATGCCTAATCTAACAGGCTTTCCCTTGAAGCAAACCTTATATCCCAAAGCCCAAAAATTGGTTTCGTTTTCCCCCACTCTTGCCTCGTATCTGACAAAGCCTTTCGGAGCGACGTAAACATTGAGTTTGTTGTCGATCCTGGCTGAACTCTAGCTGCCTATTTTTCAATTCCCTTTCTGGCTGCTCATTAAAATTTCTAGGTGTCAGATTGTTTTCCAAACTCAAATCTTGAGAGCTCACAGAAAGAGGGAGTAAACCATCATCCGTAAGCTCAGCAGGAATATTCTCATGAGAAACTGCCCTTTGCACTGGGGCCCCTCTGTCATTGTCTGCATGAAAATCATTGACCAAACCATCTCCATCTTGCACCTCAGCCTCAGCACCATCATTTCCCTCATTATGTCCCACATCAAGAGCATCATGATCCTGAGCATCATGAAACACAAACACAGGCTGATTCCCGACAATTACTTGTTTTGGTTCCAGGGTTTTGGAAACTGAGGTGTGCATGAGATCTGATGGCGCATGAGACTCGAGTCAGGGCAGTGTCCTATCTCTCACCTCCAACCACTTGAGGAACTGGGCGATTTCCTGGCCAATGTCTCGCGTGTTCTGCACCGCGATGGGGTAATGCGCATGCGCCAGCGACAGCCAATCGGCGATGACCACGTTGGTGTGCGCCAGGTGGGCCTTCAGTGCTTCGGCCAGCTTCCAAATCCAGCCTTCGAGTCTCCCGTCCACCTGCACAGTAAAGAGAGCCATGCATTATGATGCCTTACGCCAGGACACAGTTTGCCCCAAAATAAGACCTACCCTCTGAAGGTTATTTTGGAGTGAGCAATGTTTTTACAAAGCCTGAAGAAGGCTAATGTTAGAAGGTCAAAAAGGAATGAGCAATGTTTACACGTGGCCTAAAGAAAAGGGAGTTTCTAGGCTCTTAGCACAACTGTTGTTATGAATATCCTCAGTGGCCTGAGGTTCAGGGAATTTTTAATAGTATACGTTGCAATTTATTAGTTTGTTTTGAAATGTATAATTGGTTCATTGAGTCTATGATGCTCTTGTCAAATGTTATGTTTGCAATTTCTGTTGTTTTTAACACTGTATGTCGCTTTGAATCCCACCCAGGAGAGATAGATAAATGAATGAATGAATGAATGAATAAATGATACCCCTCAAATTAGACCTAACCCTAAAATAAGACCTACCCTGAAAATAAGACCCATGCCCAAAGTAAGGCCTACCCCACCCAATGCCTGGGTCCTAAAGACCCCCAGCTCTTACCGACCAGCCGTGGACGATCATCACCAGTGGCAAGGAGGCATTGAAGCGGCAGGCACGGAGGCTGGCCGGATCCTGGAACTCCACCAGGCAGCCGCCCTCGTTGCCCTCCTCCCGGCGGTCCGAGAAGAGAAGGAACTTGGTCTCCAGGCCTGAGCGGGCGCCCTCTGCCCTCCGCCACCCCAAGGTCAAGGGGGGCTCTGCAAGGAGGAGGAGGGGGAGATGCTTAGAGGGGTAGGTAGATAGGCTGGCAGACAGGCAGATAGCAAGACAGATAGATCTAGAACAGTGTTTCTCAACCTTCCTAATGCCGCGACCCCTTAACACAGTTCCTCATGTTGTGGTAACCCCCAACCATAAAATTATTTTCATTGCTACTTCATAACTAATTTTGCTACTGTTATGAATTGTAATGTAAATATCTGATATGCCGGATGTATTTTCCCATGATCAACAGAAAATAATGGAAAGGTTTGGTGGGCTTGGGTTTTGGAGTTGTAGTTCACCTACATCCAGAAAGCACTGTGGACTCAAACAAGCGGGTGTGCCTGTAGCTAAGTAGGCATCTGTGTTAGTTTGCCTCACTTGGAGAAAAGTCTCAGTCTGTGATTTTGTCATTTGAGAGTTGTAGTTGCTGGGATTTATAGTTCACCTGCAATCAAGGAGCAGTCTGAACTCCACCAATGATGGAATTGAACAAAACTTGGCACACAGAACTCCCATGACCAACAGAAAATACTGGAAGGGTTTGGTGGGCATTGACCTTGAGTTTTGGAGTTGTAGTTCACCTACATCCAGAGAGCTCTGTGGACTCAAACAATGATGGATCTGGACCAAACTTGGCACGAATACTCAATAGGCCCAAATATGAACACTGGTGGAATTTGGGGGAAGTAGACCTTGACATTTGGGAGTTGTAGTTGCTGGGATTTATAGTTCACTTACAATCAAAGAACAGTCTGTGTCCCACCAATGATAGAATTAGGCCAAACTTTGCACACAGAACCCCCATGACCAACAGAAAATACTGTGTTTTCTGATGGTCTTTGGCGACCCCTCTGACACCCCCTCATGACCCCCCCAGGGGTCCCGACCCCCAGGTTGAGAAAAGCTGATCTAGAATCATAGAGCTGGAAGAGACTCCAAAGGTCAGCCAGCCTAACCCCATGACAGATAGATAGACAGATAGATGGATCATCTATATATAGATGTAATGGTCCTGCCCCAGTTTACCTGTTCAAATGCATCTTGCTTTACCAGCCACCACGAAGACTAAGATCTTCTGGGGAGGCTCTCCTCTCGGTCCTGCCACCGTCACAGGCATGTTTGGTGGGGACGAGAGAGAGGGCCTTCCTCCTCAGTGATTGCCCCCCCAGCTATGGAACTCCTTCTTGGCGAGATTAGATCACCCCCTCTCTCCTGTCCTTCTGAACCCTGCCTGTGGGACCAAGCCTTTGGGGCAATGCAAGGAGGCAACATTAGGAAACCCACTCCACTGACTGGAGCCAGCATGGTGTCTTGAGATGGTGTTAAACAACTGATTTTAAAGTAGGTGTCACTGATTTTAGTGTTAGTGTATATTTATGGTTATTTTATGTCCTGGCATTGAATGTTGTGTTTTGCCCTGAGCCCCCTTCAGGGTGAGAAGCGGGGAATATAAGTGTTTCAAATCAATCAATCAATAGATGTATAGATAGATAGAACCCTAGAGTTGGAAGGGGCCCCAAAGAAGGCCATCCAGTCCAGCCCTCTTCTGCCATAATCGATGGATGGATGGATGGATGGATGGATAGATAGATAGATAGATAGATAGATAGATAGATAGATAGATAGAAGCTGGAAGAGACCCCAAAGGCCAGCCAGTCTAACCCTATGCCAGGTAGGCAGGCAGGCAGATAGGCAGGCAGGCAGATAGAGAGATAGGTACGTAGATAGATAAGTAGGTCGGTAGGAAGGTACAGAGGTAGGTAGGACAGTAGGTAGGTAGAGAGGTCGAAAGGTAGGTACAGGTAGGTAGGGAGGTAGGTAGAGAGGTAGGTCACTAGGTAGGAAGAGGTAGGTAGGTAGGTAGGTAGGTAGGTAGATAGGTATAGAGGTGGGTAGGTAGGTAAGTAGAGAGGTAGGTCAGTAGGTAGCTAGAGGTAGTTCGGTAGGTAGGTAGAGAGGTAGGTAGCTAGATAGGTATAGAGGTGGGTAGGTAGGTATAGAGGTAGGTAGGTAGGTAGAGAGGTAGGTCAGTAGGTAGGAAGAAGTAGGTCGTAGGTAGGTAGAAAGGTAGGTAGCTAGATAAGTATAGAGGTGAGGTAGGTAGGTAGAGAGGTAGGTAGGAAGGTAGGTAGGTAGAGAGGTCGATAGGTAGGTAGAGAGGTTGATAGGTAGGTAGAGAGGTAGGTAGAGGTAGGTAGAGAGGTAGGTAGAGGTAGGTCAGTAGGTAGGAAGAGGTAGGTAGGTAGGTAGGTAGAGAGGTAGGTAGCTAGATAGGTATAGAGGTGCGTAGATAGGTAGGTAAAGAGGTAGGTAGGTAGGTAGGTAGAGAGGTAGGTCAGTAGGTAGGAAGAAGTAGGTCGGTAGGTAGGTAGAGAGGTAGGTAGCTAGATAGGTATAGAGTTGGGTAGGTAGGTATAGAGGTAGGTAGGTAGGCAGGTAGGTAGAGAGGTAGAATTATAGAATCATGGAATCATAGAGTTGGAAGAGAACTTGTGGGCCATCCAGTCCAACCCCCTGCCAAGAAGCAGGAAAATCACATTCAAAGCACTCCTGACAAATGGCCTTCCAGCCTCTGTTTCAAAGCCTCCAAAGAAGGAGCCTCCACCACACTCTGGGGCAGAGAGTTCCATGGCTGAACAGCTCTCATGGTCAGGAAGTTCTTCCCAATGTTCAGATGGGCTCTCCTTTCTTGCAGTTTGAGGGTAGGTAAGTAGAGAGGTAGGTAGATAGCGTAGGGACCCCCAAAGGCCACCCAGTCCAAGCTAGCTTCTTCCCCTAGGAGTCTTTTTTTTACTCTTAAGACCTTTGGGGACCTGGAAACACACACATTTTAATACATGTCTTTTAGAGACTGTGTTTTAGATAATGTGCATTGCAGGTAATGTTTTATGCTGAAATGTTTTTAGCTGGGTCATGCCCAGCCTCAAGCCACGAGGAGAGGCAGGTAAGAAATAATAACAGTAATAATACTTGTTATCTTCACCATTTCATTTGGATTGTTTCCAATAAATCATCCTATGTCTCATGCTATTCTAGTTGCAAATGGGAACACAACTAGATCATCTCAATCAGCTGCTTTGCTTCTCAATAATAATCATGATAACTTCGGGACAGAGAGTTCCACTGCTGAACGGCTCTCACAGTCAGGAAGTTCTTCCTCATGTTCAGATGGAATCTCCTTTCTTGTAGTTGATGCGGAACAATGGCTTCAAACTACAAGAAAAGAGATTCCATCTGAACATGAGGAAGAACTTCCTGACTGTGAGAGCCGTTCAGCAGTGGAACTCTCTGCCCCGGAGTGTGGTGGAGGCTCCTTCTTTGGAAGCTTTTAAACAGAGGCTGGATGGCCGTCTGTCAGGGGTGATTTGAATGCAATATTCCTGCTTCTTGGCAGAATGGGGTTGGACTGGATGGCCCATGAGGTCTCTTCCAACTCTTTGATTCTATGATTCTATAATAATAATAATAATAATAATAATAATAATAATAATAATATAATAATAATAATAATAAACAACACGGATACTGTTAACCATTCTAGTAGCATATTATATTATAATGTAATAAAATATAATACTAGTAATAATAATACAATATTATAATTATAATTATATATTTACATTACATGTAATATTACTAATAATATTACAATATAATGGTATAGTGCAATATAGTAATATATTATACTGATATTGTACTATGCTAATCTATATAAATAAAAATGTAATGTTCATTTGTGGGATTAACATAACTCAAAGACCACTGGACGAATTGACACCAAATTTGGACACAAGACACCTATCAGGCCAATGTATGTCCTTCACTCAAAAAAATTGATTTTGTCATTTGGGAGTTGTAGTTGCTGGGATTTATAGTTCACCTACAATCAAAGAACATTCTGAACTCCACCAATGATGGAATTGAACCAATCTTGGGACACAGAACTCCCATGATCAACAGAAAACACTACAAGAGTTTGGTGGGCATTGACGTTGAGTTTGGGAGTTGTAGTTCACCTACATCCAGATATCACTGTGGACTCAAACAATGATGGATCTGGACCAAACTCTACACAAATACTCAGTATGCCCAATATGGTGGAGTTTGGAGAAAATAGAATCTTGACATTTGGGAGTTGTAGTTGCTGGGATTTATAGTTCACCTACAATCACAGAGCATTCTGAACCCCACCCATGACAGAATTGGGCCAAACCTTCCACACAGAACCCCCATGTGGGCCACAGCAATGCGTGGCAGGGGACGGCTAGTAATATAATATATTGTATGAAAATATATATTGTAAGCCGCTCTGAGTCCTCTTCGGGGTGAGAAGGTCGGTATATAAATGCCGTAAATAAATAAATAAATATGGGAACACAACTAAATCAGATTCACTACTTTGCATCTCAATGACAAATAATAATAATAATAATAATAATAATAGATCTAAATCAGATTCACTACTTTGCATCTCAATGACAAATAATAATAATCATCATCATCATCATCATCGATAAATCATCCTATTTATCCTGCCATTCTGGTTGCATATGGGAACACAACTAGATCAGACTCACTACGTTCATCAACTGTTTTGAGTTGCAATCAATCAATAATAATAATAATAATAATAATAATAATAATAATAATAATAATAATAATGCTATCCCGCTGCTCTCTCTTCAATGGGGCTGCAATGCAACCTCTTTGCTGACCTTTCCTCTTCCTCCCATTAGGACTCCCTTGGTTGGCAATGCCACCGGTTGCAAGGAAGGTGAGCAGGATCCATGCGCCCTTCATGCTGGCCTTTCCCAATGGAGGGAAGAGTGGTCAAAGCAGAGGGACCCGGTTGATCATCAATGCACGGTCAATTGGTAATTATTAACCCTGCAGAGAAAGTCCAGATTTCCCAAAGGAACTCCATCCCAGTCCCATATCTACAAATATATACACACATATATGTATGTGTATGTGTGTGTAGTGCTTGATGCACACAGTTTACATTCATGTGCATCTGCGCCCATTCAGTTGGAGTTTTCATCTTGTTTCTCTCCTCCGAATGGGCTTTTTGTATAATCTCGCCAGAGGTCATTCTCTTTGGGTTGACCTTCCTCTGAAAAGATTGCAAAAAGGGCTTCAGGAAATGACAGCCAATTTGTTGTTTTGGGACATTGACGCAAAAGGGAGGGGAACCAGTCCGTTTTGGGTTATAGTCCGTACTGAGGAACCAGAGATTAAGAAGAGGACTGCCTTGAGTCTCTCTTAAGAGACGGAAACAAGATAATAACTACAAGATATTAGTATTATTGTATTGTCGAAGGCTTTCATGGCCGGAATCACTGGGTTGTTGTAGGTTTTTCCGGGCTATATGGCCATGTTCTGGAGGCAATTTTTCTCCTGACGTTTCGCCTGCATCTGTGGCAAGCATCCTCAGAGGTAGTGAGGTCCATTTTACCCATTTTACCCAATTTTTCCTAAGATGCAAGTGATGTCCAGTTTCCAAATGTCTTTGTGCTTCTTAAACAAAGTTCCCTCCAAAGAACTTCCTGACCTTGATTAGCATATAATGGCCTGACAGTGCCTAGAGCAAGATGGTCAGTTGAAACATTCACACCTAGCTCCAGCAGACAAGAGTCCTTTGTCCCACCCTGGTCATTCCACAGATATGTAAACCCTTTTTCCTAGTTCCAACAGACCTCACTACCTCTGAGGATGCTTGCCATAGATGCAGGCGAAACGTCAGGAGAAAAATTGCCTCCAGAACATGGCCATATAGCCCGGAAAAACCTACAACAACCCATTAGTGTTATTATTATACCAATAATAATATTTAATAGGAGCCCCCGGTGGCACAGTGGGTTAAACCCCTGTGCTGGCAGGACTGAAGACCGACAGGTCGCAGGTTCGAATCCAGGGAGAGGTGAATGAGCTCCCTCTATCAGCTCCAGCTCCTCATGCGGGGACATGAGAGAAGCCTCCCACAAGGATGATAAAAACATCAAATCATCCAGGCGTCCCCTGGACAACGTCCTTGCAGACGGCCAATTCTCTCACACCAGAAGCGACTTGCAGTTTCTCAAGTCGCTCCTGACATGACAATAATAATAATATTTAATAATAATATTTAATAATAATATTTAATAATAATAATATGTTTCTAGCAAAACACTGCAACAGTTGCATCGAGTCTCTTTTTCATAAAGGAAAGCATGATGATGATAATAATGATGTTAGGGCCATGTGCCGAATCCAATCTGTGTTTCGGTCTTCACTTTAAAGAACCTAAAAGCGTGCATCTACCCTGTAGAATTTAATAATAATAATAATAATAATAATAATAATAATAATAATACATACATACATACATACATACATACATACATACAATGGGTTGTTGTAGGTTTTTTTGGGCTATATGGCCATGGTCTAGAGGCATTCTCTCCTGACGTTTCGCCTGCATCTATGGCAAGCATCCTCAGAGGTTGAGGTCTGTTGGAAGTAGGAAAGGGGGTTTATATATCTGTGGAATGACCAGGGTGGGACAAAGGACTCTTGTCTGCTGGAGCTAGGTGTGAATGTTTCAACTGACCATCTTGCTCTAGGCACTGTCAGGCCATTATATGCTAATCAAGGTCAGGAAGTTCTTTGGAGGGAACTTTGTTTAAGAAGCACAAAGACATTTGGAAACTGGACATCACTTGCATCTTAGGAAAAATTGGGTAAAATGGGTAAAATGGACCTCACTACCTCTGAGGATGCTTGCCACAGATGCAGGCGAAACGTCAGGAGAAAAATTGCCTCCAGAACATGGCCATATAGCCCGGAAAAACCTACAACAACCCAGTGATTCCGGCCATGAAAGCCTTCGACAATACAATAATACTAATATCTTGACATTTGGAAACTGTACATCACTTGCACCTTAAATCTCAGGATTTCCATGTATCTGCAATTAAAAGCACAGCAAACAAGATCCAAAGTGGAACTGATGTCATTTGCTATTAATTGAATAAAAATAGCAGGACCTTATTCCTTCCCTTCTACCACCCACTATTATTCTTTAATAATAATAATAATAATAATAATAATAATAATAATAATAATAATAATAATAATAGCATTTAGTGTCAGAAATAAATAACAGGCAGAGAATAAGGTTAAAATATGATTTATCAGATGCATTTCGCAGGCAGAATATGGTTGGTTTTGCATGTAAATCCACCAGAGAAGGAGATGGGCATGTGGATCGAAAGAAGAACAGTCATGGGTGCGTCTACATTGTATAATTAATGCCATTTGATACCTCTTTAAATGCCACTGATGAGCGCTATGGCATCCCAGGAGTTATAGTTTTACCAACTCATTCACCTTCTCTTCCAAAGAATGTGAACAACCACTTACAGAATTGCACAGCATTGAGCCCCGGCAGTTAAAGTGGTATCAAACTGCATTAATTCTGCAGTGTAGATGTACCCAAAGTGAAGATGTATTACGGTGTCTCTTCTCTTCCAGTTTTATTCTCGTCTCTATATTCGGAAACTTGAATGCGTTTCTGGGGGGCTTTGGATGTTTCCTGCGGATGGAAAGAAGGAGGAAATTAAAACCAAAGAGAGGCAAAAATAATATAACACATACATTTGTTTGCAAAGAGAGAAGGAAGCTCAGCCTTCGTCAGTGACGATGAAAAGTGGGATCATGATGAGGATGATGTTATGGAGATGGTGATCATGGTGGGATGGTGAATACGTGATTATGTTGATGGTGATTTTGAGCCTTCAACCACGTCAAACAGGAAGCATAGTAGTCCAGTATTTCAAATCAGGGAAGAGCCATACCTCCTCTGGCATAGTTTTTGCTCTTTCAATTTCTTCCCTATTTCTATATTATTATTATTATTATTATTATTATTATTATTATTATTATTATTACCTCCCAAGAGGCTGGTAAACAAAGAGTGATAATGGTTTAAATATTGGCATGGATGCAGATAATTGGTTTCCTCCAAGAAACTCTGGAGCTGAGAAGCCACCACCTTCTCCAGAACAATATTATTATTATTATTATTATTATTATTATTATTATTATTATTAATGTTAGTAACTCCCAAGAGGCTGGTAAACAAAGAGTGATAATGGTTTAAATATAATAATGATGATAGGAAGAAGAAGAAGAAGGAGGAGGAGGAGGAGGAGGTGGTGGTGGTGGTGGTGGTGGTTCTGGAGAAGGTGGTGGCTTCTCAGCTCCAGAGTTTCTTGGAAGGAACCATGCCAATCTGTTTTCAGACCTGGTTACAGAACTGAAACGGCATTGGTTGCCTTGGTGGGTGGTCTACGAAGAGAGCTAGACAGGAGGAGTGTGTCCCTGCTGGTTCTCCTGGACCTCTTAGCGGCATTTGATCCCATCGCCATGGTCTCCTTCTGGGTTGTCTTGCTGGGATGGGATTGGGAGGCATTGTTTTGCAGTGGCTCTGCTCCTTCCTGAAGGGACAGACCCAGAAGATGGTGTTGGGGGACTCCTGTTTGACCCCCCTGGTTGGTGGCCCATGCTATTCAACATCTACATGAATCTGTGTATTGTCGAAGGCTTTCATGGCCGGAATCACTGGGTTATTGTAGGTTTTTTCGGGCTATATGGCCATGGTCTAGAGGCATTCTCTCATGACGTTTCGCCTGCATCTATTGGCAAGCATCCTCACTGGTCGTGAGGTCTACATTAAACTGCTGGGAGAGATCATCCGAAGTTTTAGAGTTCAGAGTCAAATCTACACAGATGACACCCAACTTTCCACCCAAAGCCAAGGATGCCATCCAGGTCCCGAACATGTGCCTGTCATCAGTAATGTACTGGATGAGGGCGAATAGATTGAAACTAAATCCTGAGAAGACAGGGGCACTCCTGGTCAGTTGGAAGGAAGATCCGTGTATAGGGATGCAACCTGTACTGGTTGGATGGGGTCCCACTTCCCCTGAAGATGCAGGTCCACAGCTTGGGGGTAATCCTGAACTCAGTGCCGACCCTGGAGCCTCAGGTGTTGGCCATGGCCAGGAGTTCCTGCACACAATTACATCTTGCGTGCCCGAATCTTGAGATGCCAGACTTGGCCATGGTAGCTCATGCTTTGGTCCAGTGGTACTCAACCTGTGGGTCCCCAAATTTTTTGGTCTAAAACTCCCAGAAACCCCAACCAGTTTACCAGCTGTTAGGATTTCTGGAAGTTGAAGGCCAAAACAGCTGGGGATCCACAGGTTGAGAACCACTGCTTTAGTCACATCCCGCCTGGACTACTGCAACACGCTCTACATGGGGCTGCAATGTAGATAGATAGATTGGAAGCTTCAACTGGTTCAGAGGTTGGCAGCCAGGTTACTAACTAGAGCTCCGTACAAGGAGAGAACTACTCCCTTGTTATGGCAGCTCCACTGGCCTCCAGTTTGCTACCAGGCAAAATTTAAAGTGCAGGTCATTGCCTTTAAAGCCCTAATCAGTTCAGGTCCAGAATCGTTTGCAAAATGGTACAAATAATAATAATAATAATAATAATAATAATAATAATAATAAACCTTTATTTATACCCCGCTACCATCTCCTGCAGGACTCGGTGCGGCTTACAAGAGGCCGAGCCCAAAATACATCAAAACAAAAAACATATTCACAACAATACAATACAACAATAAATAACTCATAGCAAAGCAAAGACAATAACAAAATATCACGATGCAATTTAAAAACCAGGCAGGGCCAATGTAAAGATTTTTTAAAAAAATTAAAATGCTGGGCATGACCAGGTGAAAAAGGATGGATATTTTGGGGGGTAAGTGGGTGTGCAGACACTTCCAACTCTCT